CAGAGAGAGAGAGAGAGAGAGAGAGAGAGAGAGAAGGGGGGGAGGGAGTGTATACATAATACCATCACACACACGGAATCAGCCACCTACAACATGACCAGTACATTGTTTTTCCACCAATGTGCTTCTGAACAACAACAACACTTTGACAGACACGTTGATAATGTATTTTATGAAAATAAGAAAATGAGAAGAAAAAAATAGAAAAGAAAAAACAAAACAACAGATGACAAAAATAGCTGAGATAACACACAAATTCATTAGAGTGACGAAAGTCTCAGGCGGACAAGACAAGATAACAGTTTGTGAAACATCAACAAGACCGGTCATTGACCTTCCGGAGAAAGTTGCCACTATTATTAAACTGTATGGCGAAAGAACGGTTATCTGATCGAGATGCGAAGAGAACGGTGGGCCTGTAAGACATTCGGATTTATTTTCATATCGTAGCTATTTCTTCATCTAGTCCTATAATACGACAATTTATCCTCTCATTATTTGAAATGTTGAAGACTGATCATTCTCCTTCATTTTTACGCATTGTCTTTGTCGCTGTTGTTGTTTGTTTTTTTAGTTTGTTTTTGTTTGGGGATGGTTGCGGTTGCGGTTGTTGTTGTTTTTTTTGTTTGTTTGTTGTTTTTTTGTTGTTGTTGGTTTTTTTGGGGGGTAAGGGAGGTAAGTTGGTTTATTGTTGGCTTTGGGGGAGTGGTCTTTTCTTATTTATTTATCTATTTATCTATTTATTTAATATTATTATTCAATAATATTTGATCTTTTGATTTTTCGTTTTCTTTTTTCTTTATTTTTTGGCCGGGAGGGTGAAGGTGGGTATAGGTATTTATTCATTTTTCATCATAATGTTACTACTATTAGTATTATGTACTTGCTACATTCTTTGATTGAAGTTAAGCTACGTTATTGATAAACATGTTTCCAGGACTATAAATTATGGAAAACTGTAGTGTTCGTTTTGCTCTTGCACATCAGTAGATGCGCTTTTCTTTATTCACGCATCCAAACAAACAAAACCCTAAAAAAATCCCTCATCTTCATCTCTATTAGATAGCTGCCATTTAGAACCACGTCTGAACAAGGACATTAAAGACAAGAGTCTGGAACCTCACCAGTAGCTGAAATATCCTTGCTCTGACTTAATGGCAGCTATCTTAGGAGACTGGCACAATAGCCACCATTTGTCAGGCAGCGTGGTGGAATCAGGCTCTCGTCAATGTTTGGGCATGTAGAGTTATTGGTATCATCCTAAAGCTTGTTCGCTTGTCTTTATTTGGGTGGAAAAAAAATATCCATTTGTCTTGAATAATAGTCGAGATATTTGCGAAAGAAGGAGGTGGAAGTCACCTCTTTTCAGAGGTAAAATTAGTGAAAAAATGGCCGCCAAAGATTAGTTATTTCCTTAGCTTAAGAGTTCGTGGTAACTGAAGATTTAAATTTACATCTTTCATGCCTTTAATCAACGTTTTTCAAAAAAATCAACACAGTATTTAGTTTTTAAATGGGCATGAAAGGTGAGCCAAAAAACAAAAATTTGATAAAAATTCACAAACCTGCAGAAAAATGCAAGTTTCGTCACTTTGATTTTTCTGACGAGAGCCTGATTCCACCACGCTGCCTCACATTTAGTACTCGGAGAAAATGTAGGACAGACAGAAATACAAGACAGAAAGAACAGAAGTAGGTTGACCAATCCGAGCCAATCAAAGCTCCACACTAAACCTCGGGAACAGTTACTCAGACCAAGGTCGTCGCAACACTTTTAAGCTGTAGTTGTTTTGTTTGGTTTGTTTCTTGTTTTATTGGGATGTTGTTTTTTGTTGCTTTCTTTTGTCTTTGTTTTGGGGTTGGGTTTTTTGTTTTTTTGTTGTTGTTTTGTTTTTGTTTTTTTTTGGGGGGTTGCTGTTGGGTGTTTTTTGCGGTAGTTGTTTTTATTTTGTTTAGTCATTAATTTGGTTGTTAAAAGGGTTTTACAGTACTTGCAACCCAAATGGGGTACATTATACATTGTAAGTGTCGTAGATTAGAGGCGATACTGGAAAAAGAAAAAGAAATTAAGGAAAAGAGATGAAAAGGACGATAGACTTTGGACAGAAAAGAGGGAGTAAACCACACCAAATAGAACACGTGAACCATCCACTGACGTCATACTGTTTGATTCTGAACTCACTGGCCTCTCCACAGTCAGAGACTCCA